AGATAGATAGATAGATAGATAGATAGATAGATAGATAGATAGATAGATAGATAGATAGATAGATAGATAGATAGATAGATAGATAGAGATATATTTCTCCTTTATTGTTTTCCTTCAGATATCAAGTGGCAAAATCCATTTTAAGAGAGATTTATTTGTTGAATCTGTTTCTCTTGGTTTTTGATCCGTACATAGAAAGTGTCTTTGAACATCCATAGAGGACTTTTACTAAATCCTACTTTTCCTCAGCTGCAGTGTTATAAGTCTATGATCCCAACACTTGTGAGATTGAGGCAGGAGGATCGCGGGTCAAGACCAGCCTTGGTTACACAGTGAGACCCTGACTCAAATATCAGTCTATCAGTTAATCATTGACAACAACAAAACCCTCCTTTTCTAACTCCTGCTCTTGTCATCCACACAGCTACCCGCTCCCCTCCCCTTTGCTCAGTCCCTCGGACCGGCTGCCCTTTGGCATCGAGGAGAACGGGGGTACACCATTCCCTCCAAAAGCTTCTGGAAGACATCACCACCAGCACCAGCATCATTCCAACTATGGCCTCTCATTGACCCTGGAGAACAAAGAGGGGCCATTAAGGTCCCCAAACTCCAGCAGCAAGTCCCTTACCAGTGAGTGGGGGCAAGGGGCAGGGGTTCAGAGCTGGGGGTTCAAGAGAGAAGAGTAGGGCTGGACCTGAGTTTCCAAACCCCAGGGCAGGTCCTTGCCCATACCCATGCAGCATGAGGGCTGGTAGCATTATGCCAGTGGCCAGGTTTGGACAAATCAGACTAAAAGCTGAGCAACTTAGGGAAGGCAATCTAGAGAGAATGAGGGCTCCAGCTCAATCCCAGGGTACAGAACTGTGCAAAAGAGGAAGGTCAGAGGGTGGTGGCTGGCTTTCCACTGGCCTGATTTTAGGAAAAGCCATTCTGACACCCCTCGTCTGAGAGCAAGGTGGGGTCAGGTAGATCCACAGGGTCTACCTGTAATGCCAGCTCTAAAAGGGAAAATCACAGAAATAGAGGCAGCAGTGAGAAACACGGTTCGCAGCAGTAGAAAGTGAGTTAACATCTGTTAGACTTCATAAAAACTGGGCTTGGGCTGTGATCAGTGGCTAATGCCTGTAATTCTAGCTACTCAGGAGGCAGAGGTTGGGAGGATTGCAGTTCTAGGCCCACCTGGGCAAAAAGCCCCCGAGACTCCATCTCTATGAATAAGTCGGTACTATTGTGTGCTGCTGTCATCCCAGTTACATGGGAAGGGCAAATGGGATTTATGCACTTCACAGAACTCTGCCCCCTCATGTCTGCCCACACTGCCCTTGTCTGAGGAAGATCCCAGGCTCATCCTTTTGTACCTGGGTAACTGCCACAGCCTCCTAATGCAGCTCTCCCACTGCCAAGTCAGCATTTAACAGAGAACATGACCGAATGCCTCAAGACCTTTCCCTCCTCTTCCCCTGTCGTGGCATAAAGGCCTCGCTTTTGAACATGGCCACAGGCAGACCTGCATAGCCTGGTCTCTCCCAGCATCCCCACCTCCTCTTCCCAGCACACTCCGGCTACACAGAACTACTCTCTCCTTTCTCCAAAGCCTGTGCCGGTATGAGCCCTATCCATCACATACCTGTTGTTCCGTCTTCTGGATCGCTTTTCTGTGCCCTAGTGAACTCTTACACATCCCTCAGGAGCCAGCATAAATGTTATCAGTAAAATATTCTCTGTCATCCATCCACTCTTGCCAGCTTTCGAGTGCCTTGTCTCTTGCTCCTATAGAAACTAATTAAACCCTTTATTACTTTTATTTCGAGTGCTCTATATGTTCTAGTCTAAGAATTGTGTCTCATTTGCCTCTTTATTTCAGCTCCCTAGGTCGCAATTGATAACAATACTTAGCACAAGTTTTACTAGGTAATGAATATTTAAATTCAATGAATAGTTAATAGAGGGGAAGGAACGATGACACACAAATTCAAAGTAGTACGAAAGGCAAAATGAATTGGTTTTATATATGCAATATAGTGTGTGTGTGTGTGTGTGTGCAAGCGCATACACACATGTGAACACATGTGCACCAGTCCCCTGTGCACTGTCCCTGAACTTTTGCACTCAAGGCTAATGCCCTACCACTTGAGCCACAGCTCCACTTCCAGCTTTTTAGTAGTTAATTGGAAAAAGGGCACATGTATCCGTCTATCAGCGTGAACACTAATCTTTCCAGTTCATGTGGTGCTTTTCCATTTTTAAAGCATCTGTGCATGCATCAATCTCACTTAATACTCACAGCAGCCCTGCAAGATAAGACATTCTGTTTTCATTTTTCAGAGGCTCAGAGAGGTAAAACAACTTACCCAGTCCCACCTAGCATCTCTGTGGAAGAGTAAGAGTGGGCTTCAGAAACTCCTCCCATTAGGCTGGGAGGGGGAGGAGGAGGAGGAGGAGGAGGAGGAGGAGGAGGAGGAGGAAGAGGAAGAGGAAGAAGCAGTGGCAGAAAGGGTGGGCATCTGGCTGTGGCAAGTGTTCCCAGCCCCCGCTATGTCTACCTGTCATGTCACCCTGTCCTGATTCATTCTCTCTGGCTGTTTTGCAGAACTGAGTCCAGGAGCACCTGCCCTGTTCAGTGAAGCTGCTGCCCATCTGAAGAAGCTGGAACTGGAGACAGTGAAGGCTGCTGGGCCGTGGCCTGCTCTGCATATCAACATCAATAAGGTGTGGCCAGGCCGCTGCCTGGAGTGTGGGCAGGGTGCTCATGTCCAACCTATGACTCCCGCTTCCTAGATTATGTGCCTGGGCCGGAAGGGATTTCTGCTCTGTCTTGCTTGAACATTCGCTGCTCAGGTGCTATTAGAGCAAAAGCACTCACCTTCCTGTTGGGTTAATTGCAATGTTAAGCATTACCTAATGCATTATCTACTCCAGCATTGGCTTGCTTTTTCTTAGTCTCTTGGTTTTCGACTTTTCTTCCACATGGCCCATGATAACTGATTTTAAAGCCTTTTACCCAGCGTTTCACACTGTCCTAAGCTGTTTTGCAAGGAAATATAGTATATTGTGGCACAGAGAGCTCCCAGGCTCAGTAGTGATGCGTGGTTGCCATGACTACTAGTGGGAAGCTAAGGGGAGCTGCTTGCCTAGGGGAAGGCAAACCTAACAGGCCTGTGGGTTATATAGCAGGTTCTGGAGTTCAAACTAAAACTTCCCTCCTTTCTCCCTCACCCATAGGAGTGCATAAGGGGTTGAACTTGCAGGTCAGTGGTAGAGCACCTGCTTGGGCCCTGAGTTGAATCCTCAGCATCACAACAAACAGTAAAAATCAGCAAGTAAGATAGAGTGATATGATTATCCACCACACATGAGCAAAGCATATTACTTCATGCTGGTTCTGTCATTAATAATCATATCTTTACCCCCAGAGCTCTCTTGTTGCCATGACACCACGATTGGGGACCATTGGCTTGGATGGCTTTTAAAGGTGTTGTTTCCACCTGCTCCCCCCCTTCCCCTCCAGCCTTAGGGAGCAAGCATATTCAGATTCTCTAAGGTTTTGATATTCTCCTGCTCTTAATTTATTAATGAAAAGCTCTTTTCACTGCCCAGTTCTAAAGTGGTACCCAAATTCATCACAGGAATTTAAATTGTATTGGATTTCAAGTGTGTAAAAATTCATCGCAGTGGTCATTTCTTTACCCCCAAATGACATTCTCAGATGGCCTCATTTTAAATATAATGCTAACACCCAATTCTCATTCATTTGTATGGGTTTTGTTGTTCTTGTTGTTGCTTGAATTTTAGATATTTTGAGGCCAGGTCTTACTACCTATATAAGGCTGGATTGGATATATATGAATGCATGGTTCTATGTACTCCAGAAATGGCCTCAAAAGGGTGATTCTCTGCTTCCAAGTACTGGGAGCAAAGTGTACATCACCATCTCTGGCTCATTCCTGCATGATTTGAAATCTGCATTCCCATAATAAGTAATGAACTTTCTTTTGACAGTTCAAATTGAATATAAAAGATAAAAAATGGTCTGTTAAAAAACAGAAAGCACGATATTCTTGGGCCTTCTTCGGAGCTGAAATTGGGGTCTTGTAATCTCCCACAGAAATATGCTTCTTTTATTTTGCCGGTCCTGGGGCTTGAACTCTGGCCTGGGCACTGTCCCTGAACTTCATTTTGCTCAAGGCAGGCATTACCACTTGAGCCACAGCGCCACTTTCGACTTTTTTTATTAGTTTATTGGAGACAAGAGCCTCATGGAGTTTCCTGCCTGGGCTGGCTTCAAACCATGATCCTCAGATCTCAGCCTCCTGAGTAGCTAGGATTACAAGTATGAGCTACTGGTGCCCAGCTCAGAGATGCATTTTTAAAGGAAAAAAAAAACCACATCACACATCGAAATAAAAGTCCATTCTCAATATTCAAACAAACAAAAAAATGCACAAGGATACACGCATTTTTATATTGGCCGTTTCCTGAGTCTATGCGGAGCAGATTCCTTGCTCTGTCCAGATGAATAGCAACAGATCAGCTTGAACTTTATGTCCAAAAAAGCTGTTTAGAATTACTCAGATTCAAGGAGAAAATCAGTGCTGAGTTGCCATTCTTTTCTTATTTTAGCAGCATTTTTTTTTTTTTTGGGCCAGTCGTGAAGCCTAAACTCTGGGCCTGGGCACTGTCCCTCAGCTCTTCAGCTCAAGGCTAGCGCTCTACCACTTTCGCCACAACACCACTTCCGGCTTTTTTCTTTTTTCTTATGTGTTGGTGAGGAATCGAACCCAGGACCTCAGGCATGCAAGGCAAGCACTCTACCACTGAGCCACCTTCCCAGCCCCAGCAGCATTTTTTTTTTGAAGTAGGTTTTCAGTCATTACTGTCAGTATAACCACATTCCCTTAAGCAACTGTCAAAACCCGCAAAGGAACTTTATAACTAATTTAATTCCTGTATCCCAGCATGACTTTCCCCCCAAATTAAGCTCTAATTAAAAATTAACTCTTCATATATCAGTGAAAACATCCATCTCCATCTCAGTGTGAAACAAATATCTTAATATAACTGCATTTATTTACAAACACAAAACCAATTCTCCAAAGCCTACACTGTAAACCTCACCTTTCAGAATAAGTAAGTTATAAATAAGTTACCTATTTGCCTAAAGACCCATAGGGTAATGAATTCAGTCAAATGAGCCAGTTTTCCAAGTCCTGCTCCACGTTTAGGGTCAGTGTTCTTCTCCTATGGTAACCATTTTTCTTTATTTCTTCCTTCCCTCTTTCCCTCTTTCCCTCTTTCCCTTCCTCCCTTCCTTCCTTCCTTCTTTTTTCCTTCTTTTTTTTTCAATTTTCTCCATCTCTACATATCTTTCTACCCACTTTCTACCCACTCCTCACCCCTCCCCTCCTTTTCTCTCCCCTCCCCTCCTCTCTTCTCTCTTTCATCTTTGGGATTGAACTTAGTTAAGCAGGCACCACTTGATGTACACCTTCAGCCCTTTTTGCTTCATTATTTTAGGTATGATTTCACACTTTTTACTTGGTTAGCCTTGGACTGTAATTTTCCCTACTACACATCCTGCATAGCTGGGCTTACAACAATATGCCACCACACCTGGCTCTGTAATTTTTTTAATCAAAGCATCTAGCCTGAAAGTGTCATCCATATCTTTTTTTCCCCTCATTTGAACATCCTAAAAAGTATATAATCAGTCAGGTGCCAGTGGCTCATACTTGTAAACATAGCTACTCAGGAAACTGAGATCTGAAGATCACAGTTTGAAGCTAACCCAAGTAGAAACGTCTGTGAGCCTATTATCTCCAATTAACCACCAAAAAGCTGGAACTGGAGGTGTGGATCAAGTGGTAGAGTGCCAGCACTGAGAGAAAAAGCAAAGTTAGAGTGCAAGGCTTTCTGTGAAAGCCTCAGTGCTGGCCCATATACAAAGAAATCTAATAAAGGGGAAAAACTGAAATAGACAGGTTAAGGGAAACTGGCATGGTAAAGTTAATGTTAAGTTAGGTTGAATGAGCTCTGGTTGAAGGCTCTGGCTTTAGAGTCAAGCAAAGTCACCATTCCTGGGTGAGCATCTCGTGACTTTACACTGCTCTGCTTCCTTTTTCTCATGTACAAAGTGAGGTTAATACTCTTCTGATTTTTCTTCAGATCACATAAGACTTTTACCTTTTACTAAAACAGATATGATCATAGTACCTACCTCCAAACAAGATGGAAAAGGAGACCACTCAGTGAGGTGTATCTATGAAATATATAGTCAGAGCTGGGTGTCCTGCCACACACCTTGTAATCCCAGACCCTGAAGGAGAGGGAAAAGGCAAGAGGATCTCAAGTTTGAGGCCAGTTCAGAGAAAGTTAGCAAGATCCTTTCTCAAAATAAAAAATAGATGAAAGTGCTCAACTGTTAGCTTGCTTGTCTAGCAAGCACAGAACCCTGGGTTCAACCCCCAGTACTGAAATATATAGGATAAAATAATAATAATACCCTCTTAGTAATATTAGTTATTGGAATTACTTTTATCATCATCGTCATCTATTTTTTGATGAGGCTAACAGGGAAAAAAAACTGACACTCAAATCCAGAGCTTCTACCCTGGCCTGCCTTAGTATTAAATGAAATGGTTGAACTGGGCTTGCGGGACCAGATGCTCTTCTCTGTGTTTGATGTCATCATTGGGAAACTGTATTCTGTGTCTCCTTATCTTTATTAAATGATGCTCTGTGCTTCCTCTATGGTTTTCATAAGATTCCCACAATGGGTACCAAGTTGCTCAGTAGGACTGCTGCTATCATGAATAATGTCAATTTCTGAACTTGAAGAACTTCAGTACGATTTATTCTTGCTCTGGTTCCTTGTGGTTGACATACCACATTTGGTTTTGATGGTACTGACATGAATCTACTTATGGCACTGAGGTTTGAATTCAGGGCTTTGTGCTTGTTAGGCAAATACTCTACCATTTGGGCGATATCTCCAGCCTATTTTGCATTGGTCATTTTCCAGATAGGGTCTTGCTCAATGTCTAGCCAGCCTGAGCTGTGATCCTCCTATTTGGGTTTCTGTGTGTTGCAGGGGTGACAGGTATGTGTCGCCATGCCCAACCATTGGTTGAGATGGAGTTTTCTTTTCTTTTTTGCTGAGGCTGGCCTTAAGCCATATCTACCAATTGCTACCTCTCAAGTAGCTAGGATTATAGGCTTGAGCCTCTGTGCCTAGCCTTAAATGACTTCTAGGATCATATGCTCTTATGACTTTCGATCTCTTCTGAAAATAAATGCCTAACATAATTGTCTTCAGTAGGTATTGATTGGAAGCCTATTTGGCTTTAAACATTGTGTTGCACTGGGATACATAATAACCTCAATAGGTATGATGAGCAATAAGAAATTATTTCCCAGAAGTGGTGTGCGTACCATTAAAGATTATTTCAGGCTGCATGCATGGATGAGTACTTTTTATTTTAATAGTTATGTAAATATCACCATGTCTATTATAATAAATATAATAGTTATAAAGCCTCTGATTTCAAAGGTATTATTGCTTCAAACATGATCAGATATGACTATGTAGTCTTAGGGTAATCCTCTTTCACCGAGTCACATGAATTAGGTCCACATTTGACACATGGGGAGTTGACACCAATAGTAAAGGTAATCCAAATTCCAGAACTCCAAGGCATCCTACACTAATGTAACATAGGGACTGCAGGGGTGTCGTGTGCCTGAGGGGTGGATGAGTGCTTAGCGTGTAACCAGGAGCTGGGTTTACATCAAAATGAAAAGGGAAAGCTGGGCACTGGTGGCTCATGCCTGTAATCCTAGCTACTCAGGAGGCTGAGATCTGAAGATTGTGGTTTGAAGCCAACATGGACAGGAAAGTCTGTGGGACTCGTATCTCCAATTAATTACTAGAAAGCTGGAAGTGGCACTGTGGCTCAAACAGTATCAATACAAATTCCTTGTTGAGTACCATAGTTACCAGCAAGATTAATTATAAAAAATATCAACAAGTGCTTTTCACTTTTCCCTTGACCCTACAAATCACACCATTGTGTCTTTCTATGTCAGAAGTAGTAGCTATGGGAAATATAACACCTTACGGGGCGTAGGGAAGTTGAGTCCTGGTGTGTGACTCTGAACCTTCATTCACACTCCTGACAGGTCCTCTCACTACCTCACAAGAGAATGGGAATCCTCTTTACAGTAAAAGGACACAAACACAGTTGCTGGGGATGAGGGAGAGCATAAGCTGGCTGGAGGAGCAAGTCCCTTCCTGCTAGTGCCTCTCTTGGCAGAGCAGAATGAATAGGATTGTTCTCTGGTCCAGTTCCTCAGGCAGAAGGAAGAAGAAATGATAATTGAATAACTGCCCTTACCTAGATATCTAGTTCTGTGTCATTTGAAGTGTAATTGTTGGGAATTTTTAATGTGCATCTTCTACCCCTTTTTATAAACTGTCCCTCCATATTTTTCTTTGTTTCAGGCTGAAGAGAAGAAAGTTTCTGAGAAGACTCTGCAGACCCCACTGCTGCCTTCCCCCGTGGCTGAGCATGTTAAGTGCAACATCTTGAAGGCACAGTTGGAGAATGCTTCCAGGGTGAATGCTCAGGTATGTGGCCATGCATTTCTTTGCTTTCATGTCACAGGATTTCCTTGATGGAACAGAGAGAACTGCTACATGTTGTCAGCAATCTGAATAATTCAGATTATTCTATGAGAAACAACAGAAAAATCCTTACAAAAATAGAAAAAAAAGCTGGACCACTGGTGGCTCACTCCTACAATCCTAGCTACAAATGAGATTCAGATCTGAGGGTCAATGTTCAAAGCCAACCTAGGTGGGAAAGTCCATGAGATTCTTATCTCCAACTAACAACCAAAAAGCCAGAAGTGGAGCTGTGGCTCAAGTGGTAGATCACTGGCCTTGAGTTCAAGCCCCAGGACTGGCTCAAAAACAAAAACCAGCTAGAAACAGAAAGTAGTAAGGTCTATAATAAAATCTTGAAAATCAGATGGCCAGAGTTTGAGTTTACCTACCATTTCTCAAAAGTGCCATCTTAAACTTGCTTGTCAATCTTCCTGAGCCTCTATTTCCCCTTATGTAAATTTAGAGATTACAGTATCTACCCTTAGGTGATTGTGAAGATTAAATGAGACAACCCGTGTAGAGAGTAACTGGCACAGTACCTGTGCTCGATGTGGAGATATTGTCAATCACAAATGAAATGGTAGGAGTTCTGATTGTCTGCATGTAAAAATGGTTGTTACTGTGACTTGAATGTAGGGCCTCACACTCACAGCTCTACTGCTTGAGTTATGCCTCCAACCTGGCTTTTTACTAGTTAATTAGAGATTTAGAGTCCCTCAGACTTTTCTGCTCAAGCCAACCTTGAGCCACAGTCCTCTGGGTCTCAGCCTCTTGAGGAGTTAAAGATGAGCCCCTGAACCCTAGCACAGAAGCTCTTTGTATAGCATGAGCAGGCTGACTCTCATCTCACACTCAGTAATATCAGAGGGACAATCACAAATCCTCCTTGTCCTAATTCTACCACTATCATTGTTTTAAAATATGTCATTTTATATGCTCACAGAAAAAATTAAAGTGACATACACATCACAGTTTACCAAGCTGCTATTACATATGTTAGAATGTTCTTATATGTATCACTTGTGGTGGATCCTTGCTTCTGCACCAGTGAAGAAGCACAGAGTATCAGAAATGCTGCCTTTTGGAAAAGGTGAGAGACACACACAAAGAAAATAAAATGTCCTGGCCAAGCAATCAAACACAGAATGGCCTAAAGGCAGGAAAAGAAGAGAGAGAGAGAGAGAGAGAGAGAGAGAGAGAGAGAGAGGGAGAGAGAGAGAGAAAAAAGTGAAGGTCAGTGCTTTTAGAGCAGTATTATTGGGAGCACTGTCACCAGTCATTCTGAGAAATGCCACCCACCAGACTCCCTAAAATGGTCCAAATGCACACTAGTACCTTCAAGACTCTGAGAAGTCCTACATCAAAAAGAAATTCATTTTGCTTTCCTTCATACCTAATGGCTAAAGAACACTTTGTGAAATAGCTTCCACTGTCATCTGCCAAACTTGTGTTCCTGGGAACACAAGAACCTGCTTTGGAGATCCCTGGGTTAGCATGCTTTGAAGGGCTGTGTGGAAAGGCATGGGTGCATAGTCAGACATACCACCCAGGGCATCATGTCAATTCCTGTGGGCATCAATGCAGGACAAGGATATAAGGAAAGGAAGCAGAAGCCCAACAGGCCAACCGTGCTATGTGTCCTTGAAAGCATCACCCCACACGTACTCAGGCCAGAGGCCAACCTCTACAGGTTGTGATGAGTGGCAAGGACAATGGGCTGCTTTATCTTTCATCCATCAGCAGTGTGGGGCACTCTACTGGCCTGGCTGGCTAAGGAGGTATCTCTTCTTCCTCTTCCATTCTTTGGGACTCACCAAAAGGAGGGAGGCCAGGCTTCTGTCCAAATCCAAAGAAGAAATTCCTCTTTGGCTTGCTATGCTGATGTGAAAGATAGATTCCAAATGCCTCTCTGTAGACTGTAAGTGCTATGTGAGTATTGAGCTCATTATGATTCATATCTCAACCCTGAGCCTTGGCTTTTCCCACACCATCCTTTCTCATTCAGAGAGCAGGCTCGATAAATGTATGAATACAAGAATTGAATGCATCTAAATGATTGCATCTTAATCCTCATAGTGAGGGTGACTCAAGAGAAGTGTTTTTTGTTCTCTTATATAAACACCAGAACAAGTTGGCTCCTTGATTAATTACCTTTTGGGTCCACCTTTACTCATCTATAACCCTTTGAATGTAGGAAATATGAAAAAAAGAAATTTAGAAAATACTCATTTTGACTAACCTGACTATTTTCTTTAACAGATTGGAAAAGAGGAGCCAACGTTTATAAATATCAGTAAGAAATCCAGTCTTCAGGATGCTAACGTGAGGTCTGTTACTTTTGGTTTGAATGGGCATGGGATACTCTGTGTTGTCAATAATATCCTGGGAACACTTTTCATAGGACAGCTGGTGGACAAAATCAGAGAAGAAAAATTAAACTGAGAGCTACACACACACACACACACACACCAAAAAAAAAAAAAAAACTTTAAAACTTCCTTTAAGCCATGTTCCCTATGAAGTCTTATAAAAAGCTTTGCCCTTAGAGTGGTGACAGGCCGCTTTAACACAGTGCGGGAGGCTTTTCCTTCTTGTTTCTTTAAAGTCCCAGGCTATAGCTTCCATCTCATCAAAACTGGAAGAAACCCTCTTTCCGCAGAAGGCACAGACTGAGGAAGCAGGAGTCTCTTCAGTTGAGTAACAGCAGCTTCATTGCCCCCACGGTAGTCTACCACCACTTTCAGAGGCTCTGTGTTAGTTACTTTTGTCATCATTATAATAAACTACCTGATGGAAACAACTTAGAGAAGTAAATATCCATTTGGCTCATGAATTCAGATTTCAACCCATAGTCCTTGGATCATATTGAGTTTGGACACACGATGAAGCAGAGCGTCAGGGCCTGAGAGAGAGCATGTGGAAGAATCTCTTCATCTCATAGTAGACAGGAAGCAGAGAGCAAGGATAGCTCTAAAGACCAGCTGTCACCTTCAAAGACACACCCCTTCAAGACTTACCTCCTCCATCTTGGTCTCACTTCCTAAACTTGGTAGAATCTCCCAAAATGGCATTATAGCTGGGACCTAGCCAGTAACACATGAGCCTTTGAGGGGAAGCAGAGGAGAATAATCATGACCAAACTGTAACAGGCTCTCTCTGATAGTTTCCTCAAATGGGTCCAGAAACCACTACACAAATCTCTCATTCAAAACATTTTTTTCTTTTTGTTTGGCAATACTGAGGATTAAACCTAGTACTTTCTGTGTGCTAGACAACTGCTCTACCACCAGTCACATCCCCAGCCTTAAAATTAGACTTTTAAGTTCTACTTGACTTTACAGATTGTGTGTGTTTGTGTGTATGTGTGTGTATGTGTAGTGGAGTGTACTGATTTCTGTGGGGAGAGAAATCAGTATATTAAGTGATAGAGAATTCCCTAGGGAATTCTTAGACTTGATACCCAAAATAAAGGTTAACATTTTCTGTATTCTCTTAAAATTCCAGATCTACATTGTTGGTTATAAATTTGTCTTCTTCCAGGGACACATACCCTCTCTTGAAATTTTCAGAGACTTAATTTGGGCTAGGGTGCTCATTGGTAGAACATTTGCCTAGCATGTCTGAGACCCTGGATTGTATCTCCAGCATGCAAACCAACATATAACATATTAAATAATCTCTTCCCACCTTCCCTTGTTTTCTGATCTTAGTAAATGGTATCATTACCTTCTTACCCAATCTTGAAATCAGAAAGTCCTTGATTCCTCCAGCCTCATGCCCTCACCTAACAAGTCTGTTCATCAATTTGACTTCCGTGCTATCCCCCCATTCCCACCTTCCATGAGTTAGTATTGTAACAGTTAGCCATGCTCTCATCATTCTCTGAAAACCTTTCTAATATACCAAGTCTCACGGCACTACTCCCCTGCCTTAATCCTTTGGGTGAAAACTCCTCAGCCAGAGGCTCCTCATGACCTGGCCCTGCTTTCCCTCTAGCCTCATCCCTTGCTTTCTACTGGGATCTACTCCTCAGCAGTGCCCCGTGTTCAGCTAGGCTTCTACTCTGTCTCCCACCTTGGTAGTTTCCTCCATTAAGCTGAGTGAAGCTTTTTACAGGTAAACAGCCAATGCACGTAGGCAAGATGATATGTCTCCTAGGAGACAGTCCTTCAAGGAACAATATTCAGTATTCTAAGGTCTCAGCCTGAGTAAAGTGTGAAGGTAGCAGAGGTTGATTCCCACTCCTTATTTGCTCTTCCTATATTCAACAATAATTTATTTGGTACTAATCACATACTTATCACATAATTACATACTGAATAGAAGAGAAAATGGAGCCCCAGAGGTGTTAATTGACTTTTAAGGGCCTCAACTTATTTTGATTCCCTTTTGGAGCTAGAAGGTAATTACTAACTTTTAAAATAATGCAATCAGTCATGATCACTACAAAAATATGTTAAAGTTTTTCCTTAAAATCATTATTCTGAGTAAGGCCCATCTACTCTCTGACATAAATGACTGATGAAATATAAGGATAAAGAACTTAATTTTTAACAAGCACATGTTAAATGTACATAAAATAGAAATGTTTTTGTTTTATTTTGGGGGGGGTCCGGTCATGGGGCCTGAACTCTGGACCTGGGCGCTGTCCCTCAGCTCTTCAGCTCAAGGCTAGAGCTCTACCACTTGAGCCACAGCGCCACTTCCGGTTTTTTTCTTTAAGATCTTTTGACTGTTTTTTGCATAAAATAGATTGGGTTATTTATTTCATATTTTTACAGGCTCTGAAGCTTGAATTTAGGGCCTTACATTCTCACTTAGCTTTATTGTGCAAGGCTGGTATTCTACCATGTGAGGAACATCTCCACTTCTGACTTTTTCTAGTTAATTTGGAGATAATAATCTCTCAAATTTGTCTGCCCAATCTGGCTTGCAACTGTGATCCTCAGATCTTAGCCTCTTGAGTAACTAGTATTATAGGTGTGAGCCACTGGCTAGATTTTTCCCTTCCTTCCTTCCTTCCTTCCTTCCTTCCTTCCTTCCTTCCTTCCTTCCTTCCTTCCTTCCTTCCTTCCTTCCTTCCTTCCCTTTCCTTCCCTTCTTCTCTTCTCTTCTCTCTTTTTTTGTTTTTTTTTGGTCCGGTTGTGGGGCCTGAACTCTGGGCCTGGGCGCTGTCCCTCAGCTCTTCAGCTCAAGGCTAGCACTCTACCACTTGAGCCACAGCTCCACTTCCGGCTTTTTTCTTTTTGCTTATGTGGTGCTGAGGAATCGAACCCAGGGCCTCATGCATGCAAGGCAAGCGCTCTACCACTGAGCCACCTTCCCAGCCCTCTTCTCTTCTCTTCTCTTCTCTTCTCTTCTCTTCTCTTCTCTTCTCTTCTCTTCTCTTCTCTTCTCTTTGTATGTATGCCAGTACTGGGGCTTGACCTCAAGGTCTGGGTGCTATCCTTTAGCTTTTTCTGCTCAAGGCTTGCACTCCACCACTTAGACCATAGCTTCATTTTTGGCTTTTTGGTGGTTACTTGGAGATGAGAATCTCAAGCTGGCTCAGCCCAAGCTACCTCCAAACTATGATTTTCATATCTCAGCCACCAGCACTATTGAGCCAGCAGCACTTATGCCCGTTCTTTATTTTTTTAAATTAGTATTCGATGCCAGATTTAGAATAGTATAGCTAGGGATTATTGGTTAGTAAAACTGAGTTGCCCATAAGTTCCTCTTCATTTATTTTATTGCCAAAACCTGGTTATGGACCAAAACCTTGTCTGAGAATGGTTGGGCTGGTGGTTGGGACCAGGCAGTTTTGTTTGGCAACCCAGTGATATTTCATTTCCAACTTGGTATATTTTCTTCCCTGTGATTTTTTTTAGGGATTTTTGAGGGGAGGTGTAAATAATTACGAAGATGGAGGGAGCCGGGCACCACTGGCTCACACCTGTAATCCTAGCTACTCAGGAGGCTGTGATCTGAGGATTGCTGTTCGATGTCAGCCCGGGCAGGAAAGTCCATGAGACTCTTATCTCTAACTAACCATCAGAAAACTGTAGTGGCGCTGTGATTCAAGTGGTAGAACGCTAGCCTTGAGCTGAACTGCTGAGGGACAGCGCACAGGCCCATAGTTCAAGCCCCACAACCGACCAAAAAGAAACAAAAAAACAAAAAAAAGAAGATGGAAGGAAATAGATTTCTTGACTATCAATGTTATTAAGGTGTAAATTAGCTAAAGAAGTCTGCATGGTCAAAATAAGATGATAAACTTTTTCTGTTGATGTTGCTCTCATTCCCACCCCCCCTTCCTCCACCCCCCCCCACCCTTACCCCTCCTTCCCTGCCCTGGCATGTCTCTAGAAGTCCTATCCCAATACGCGTGGAAACCGCCCAACCAGCTGTGGAAAAACCAGAAATCAAGCCTCCCCGCGTGAGGAAGTTAACGAGACAATATAGTTTGTGAGTTCTGTACTTCAAGTTTTCCCATTGTAACAGCTGTTATGATGCTAAGTGATTGGATGTAAATGCTTCTGAGCCCTTCAGAGGGCATCTCCCAAATTCCAGTTGAAGTCATAATGGGACCAGACCTTTCTCTTTGAAAAAAATTACATAGTTGGCTTATTAGTGATTTCAGTGTGACAAACAGCTCTCCAAAAGTCACATTTTTCACCTTGTAGTCATTGGGATTGGGAGTCTGGGTAACTTAGCTGGTCTTCAGTGTCCTGATCTCTCATAGGACTGTATTCAAGGAATCATTGAGGGCTCTGGTCTCAATTGAAGGATGATCTATGTGGTTGCTGTTAGGACCTAATTTTTTTCTTTAATATATTTTTATTATCCTTAAGTAGTCATAAAAAGGAGTTGGAGTTATCCCTAGTTTTTAGTCACTTACAGTTTCTCTGTCAGAAAGAACACATGAGAAGAGTGAGAGAGAATGCCCACAAGACAAATGGCATAGTCTTTTGTCACTTTATCACAGAAATGGCATCCTGTAGTCAGAACATTAGTCTGTTCATTAGGAGCAAGTCACTAGATCTAACTCACACCCAAAGGGAGGGGTGCATGGAAGCATGGCTACTAGGAGAGGGATCACTGGAAGCCTTAGCAGAAGCTACTTCTCACACACAATAAGTAAAGGGAAGCATGGTTGGTAACTAAGGTATCTGTGATACCCATGAAAGGAGCCACATCCCACCACCATTTTATTCACCTTAGCTTAACAGAAGTCTCCTAGCTATGGTGTTCACTAGACTGTTCCAGGCATTATCAAGGGATAGCAAAATGACTTTGACAGTACCCATCCAGGGAGTCACAATGTATTGGAGGTGACGTCATTATAACCCAAAGGAGATAGGAACGTGCTATAGTAAGGGGCGGTGGTGGTATTAGTCCTGGTTAGCTCAGACACTGTGCCTAAATGTGTAGTTGGTCAGAGAACTGCAGGGAGCTGTTAATAAACAATGGAAAGCATAGGGATTATGGAGTTGGGAAGCCCCCTGTTAGAGCCTAGATGCATTTCTTGCTATACATGCTTGAGAAATTTACATTTTGGGCTGCTCTGTCTATTTCTGTAAAGTGGGTCAGCTACCCCTGAGGATTCTTGTGAAGGTTAACATATAGCAATGTGAATAAAGCCCCTAGGATGGGGCCTGGCCACAAGATGTACTCCCCTAGGACCTGCAAGCTTCTAAGAAAAGGTAGAGCATATAGAAATTCCCCAAGGAACAAGGTATAGGAAGGGGAGTGTAATATCCAATGCAGTCCTCAAATAGCCACCTCAGATCTGCCATTTGTACCTTGCAAAGGAGAAAGAGTCATACAGTTACCAGCAGCTGGGGGCAGACACATCTCACCTTGTTAGCCTTATTAGAAACTTCTGTTGTATTGCAAGTCTGTTTCCTAGGAAAGTCAAAATGAATAGGGCTCAAGTAATTAACAGTCCTCATTCTCTCTGGAGGACAAATTAAACCACAAAACTCTTCTTCCCCCAAGGACAAAGGCTGGCAGGATTTGCCTTTCCTTTTACATTTGGAAACTCAAAATGTTATTATCACCCATTTGGGATATGTAATTATGTCTGAAATAATGACCAACTGATCAGTGGTCTGGAAGGAAAGAAAATTTTACTTATTCACCAAACTGACTCTTTTAATTAAACCCTTTTCAAACAACTAACCTAAATGTGTATTTCTTAACATGGCCCAAAATGTTCTGCTTTGAAAATCAAAGAATGGCAGCATTTCCTTATCGTAAAATATAGCAAAATTAACGGATGGAATTTTCCCAGTGTTAATTTTTGTCCCAGGAATAGTTCTTGAATCATTGACACTGATTACTGTTCACTGTTTATCTCTTATACTTATAAATATTGATGAAGTTCATTAAAAACTTAGTCAAGAACATGGATGGAAAACTCAGCTTTCTGATTCTCTGGAACTGTTCATTGCATCATTATTTTTGAGATAGAGATGTGTGTATATGTCATTGTATTCCTAGTTCCTATGCCTGTGTTCTGTGTATTTAGATTTTAGTTGCGCTATGAAAAGCAGGTACATTGAAAAAATTTATCAACCTAATTCTTTTAAGGATGTAAAGAAAGATGTTCATCATGTTCTTTCCTGGAAATCTGACAGGGAGGGGAAAAGAGTGATGACTTTGTGTAGAGGAGGGAGGGGAAGCAAAAGAAAGCTACACAGTTTGAGGCAAGTAAAATATCTTTTTTATATTGATAGCTAGTGTATTTAGAAAATGGTGCACAAGGGGGGCTGGGAAGGTGGCTCAGTGGTAGAGTGCTTACCTTGCCTGCATGAGGCTCTGGGTTCAATTCCTCACACCACATAAGAAGAAAAAACCAGAAGTGGCGCTGTGGCGCAAGTGGTAGAGCTCTAGTCTTGAGCTGAAGAGCTGAGGGACAGTGCCCAGGCCCAGAGTTCAGGCCCCATGACTGACAAAAAAAAAGAAAGAAAATGATGAGCAAGCCAGATATAGTGGTACCTGCCTATAGTCCTAGCCTCTTAAGAGGCTGAAGTAGGAAGATCACTTGAATTTGAGGCCAGTTTGTGCAACATAATGAAATTTTATCTCCCAGAGAAAGAAATTGATGAACAGCTATATTATTTTCCAAAAATATAACCTTATTGTGTATTTAAACACAGGATCTCAAAAAACATTCAACAGGCAAGGTTTAGAGGCATGGTTCAAGTGGTAGAATGTTTACAAACATTAGGTCCTGAGTTAAAACAATAATAATAAGCAACCCAGAAAAGTTCAGCAAGAAAAGTAACCAATTCCTCAGAATCATGCCATCAAAAATAACCAGTTGGTCCATGAGCTGGTGGCTCACGCCTGTAATCCTAGCTACTTAGGAGGCTGAGATCTGAGGATCACAGTTCAAAGCCAGCCTCAGCAGAAAAGTCTGTGAGACTCTTATCTCCAATTCACCACAGAAAAAGCCAGAAGTGGCGCTGTGGTGCAAGTGGTAGAGTGATAGCCCTGAGCAAAAGAGCTCAGGGACAGTATCCAGGCCCAAAGTCTGAGCCCCAGGACCAGCAAATGAACAAACAGTTGGGGCTGTGAGTATAACTCAGTAGTAAAGTCTGGGAAGCATTCACAAGGCCCTGTGCAAGAACTCCACTGAACTCTTCGGTGGAACAGACAGACAAAGATTCATTCTCCAAGTATTAATGTGTAACACAAAGTATGAGCAACCAGGGAAGTTAATTTGGACAGTTATAACCTTAATGTCCAGGGGTTTTACTGGGTACTGGTCACAAAGACATGGAACCCATACAACTAGCTTAAACTACTCAGGCTCTAGCACTGCCTTCCAGAGCTCAGACTTATGAGTATGACCTCAAAAGTCAGGCATATAAGATCAAATGTTTCACTGTAAGTCACAGTGATAGCATAAAATGCATGGCATGGTTAAGGTCTAAGGTGCCCATATATTCTCTTCCTTAGTCAAGATGCTCCAAAGGCCCAAATGTTATCTCCCACAATCTCAGTAATGCTTGTGGTTTTCTTTCCAGTGTGCTGGCTTTGAGCACCCACCATCAGCTGAATGATTCCTTTATTATGCAGGCAACATCTAGTTGGCCTTGGGAGACTTGTCTGAATTTCTGGAAGCTTGGGAATATACTGTCCAAGCTAAGGATGAATAATGTCACCAGGCTAGCACTTGTTCCAGAATGACCAGGTCCAAAGAGGTTTCTGGCCATGGCACACTCACCCTGTGAGAGCTCAAACCTTTTGTCCTAAACCCAAACCCTGGAGACTAGCCCATAATGCCAGGCCACAATTCTCCCTCATGGTGACTTCCTAGCTAGTGTCATTTTCTTCCCGAATCATCTTCTTTCGGTAGAGAAGTTCTCAGAACAGAGCTCAGAAGCAAATTTGCCCAGCTCCTTTCTTGTAATCAGTTTGTTAGAGCAGTCAGTGGCTCAGGGAAGCCCCTGTATTTGCTGGCCTGAGGCAAGCCACTCAGAATACTGTCCCATGATTTGAGGATCCCTCAAAACATTGGACAAAGACCTGTCATATAACTCAGCAACTTCACTCCTAAGTGAAATGCCAGCCCAAAGAAATTGAGAACAGGGAGTCAAACAGATGTTTGTACATCCATGTTTAGAGTAGCATTGTTGCAAGAGCCAAAAGGTAGAAACAACTGAGTTCTGGCTACACAATGGATAAGAATATGTAGCGTATCTATACAGTAGAGTATTTTTCATCATAAGAAGGAATCAAATTGTAATATAAACCACATATTGGACCTTGAAAACATCTTGGTGAGCAAAATAAGCCAGACCCCCAAAGGATATATATTGTATTATTCCATTTATATTACCAGAGGCCATGGGGAGGTGATCATGGGGTATCATTGTTCAATAGCTACACAGAGTTTGTATTGGTAGATGAAGAGGCTTGAGGAATAGTGGGTATGTTTGTACAACTTTGTGAATGTATTTAATACTACTGAATTGCTCACTTATAAATGGTCAAAGTAGCTAAAATAGAAAAATACATATTTTTCTACAATTCAACACACACACACACAGATTGAGAGAGAGGCAAGTAATCAAAACTCCAGCCCAAATGTGCTTTGGTAAACATCATTGTATTTGATCATGTAAGCTAGACATTTGGGGACATTTATTTGGGGAGCCTCAGCCCTTACCCACGGCCTCCTATCCCTCCCCAGCCTCCCTGAGCGCCCCACAGCCTGTGTATTATTGTAATGAGCAGAGCTTCATGTACTTTTAGTAACCGCAGTGATGAAGACGACCTCCCTCCAGACCTGGCTGAGGCAGTAGGAGCCACGACCACAAATACCACAACTGCCACCACGCAAATCTCAGTGCCGCTGGCATCCCCCAAGGTCCAGAAAGTCACCTCACCTCAGAAGTCAGAAGGCAAGAACCCACTGTCCCCAGGGGCCAAGGTATGGGAAAGAGCCAATGCTGAGCATTCAGTGTCCTTGAATGGCGGTGGATGTGTACATTTAAGTTATATGTAGTCAATTGTGAGCACTCATTTAAAAATAAATGGATATTCTGGGTTTGGTGGCTCCAGCCTGTAACCTTAAACTACTTAGGAAGATTGGGGATCATGGTTTGAGGCCAGCCTAGGCATGAAAGTTTGCAAGATCCTTGTTGTAACATGGATTGTGGGAAGTGTAAAATAATAGAATTGTGGTCCAGGCTGGCCTGGGCAAAAAGAGAGATCCTATCTCAAAAATAAGCAAAGAGAGCAAAAAGGGCTGGAGGCATGATTTTTAGAGTCCTACCTAGCAAAAAGAACACTCTGAGTTCAAATGATAGGCCCTCCCCCCCCAAAGAAAACAAACAGAACATGTTTTCACATATTCAATTCTAAAATATAAGCCAATTATTTCTAAGAGACATGGTATGCTTTAAAAAAAAAAGTTCATTGTTCTGTCGGAGCAGTTTAAAGAATTCTTGAAGGCAATATTCATTTAGAATGGTATCCTTCATAAACTATCCCTGCCTATATAGTGGACAATTTGAAGAAATAGGAATATAGGAATGAGCTCATCACATACCTTAAATAGGATAAGCTATGCTGATGGTCTGAAAATAGGAAATTTTTATTCTATTTGTTCAGTTTGAAGTTTCAAGACAGACATTACCAGAGATGTGAAAGGCAGTGACAAAGGTCAAACACAAAACATTTCTGAGTGACTCTAGCTCTAGTCATTCTTTGGCAATCGGTCCAAATATGGTCAAGGCTATTGCTGCCCATGTGGATGCTGTCATGGTAGCTTTGGCCCATGCAACCACATGAAGAAAGATGTGGGACAAGAAGTCCAAAGCCAAGGCCTTTACTGTACCAGCCTTGCAGGCACCTCCATTCACACAATTGTGACAGCCCAAAAGGCACCGTTACTTTTATACCCCTGACTTCTCCAAGCCTTAGCTTTCTTTTCCTAAAAATGGTATCTGTTACCTTGCCCAGCTCAGTAGCTGAGATCCAACAAATGTTCCAATGATTAGGCAAACCAGGTGCCCGAGGTTTCTGCAGCTTCCATGCTCACAGTTCTTGGCAACATCAAAGAGCAATGGTACAGACCACAGCCTAAGTGACCAAGGCCAGTGTTTCCCAATCCCTTACCCAGGTACCTAGAGCAGAACAATATGACTGGATACCTTAGCTAGTCGCTGGCCCAGACCGAGGCCCTGCTGTTCTGTAGCTCATCTCCTGGCACCTTTAATTTAATTCTCCTGAACTGTAGTCTCCTGATCTTCAGCATGGTGTGGACATGGGCTCCTGTCATGTTTCCCACAGCTGGTTAAATCCAGGCTGAAGCAGGGCCAAACAGAAGGGAGTGGTAGTAGTGCACAACATCTTCTCAGAGCTATAGGGCTCCCTCTCCTGGCCATCTCTCTCTTTAAGCCCTTGCTTGTGTAAAGTTGACAAGCTGTGATTTTATTCCTTCCTCCAAGGGCTTCCACCCATGCAGCTATGGTATAAAAGACACAATGTTCTCTAAACCCAAGAAGCACCAACTTCAGAGATGCCTCTCAACCACCATGAGCATCTTCCCAATGATTGTGTAAATCAGTTTTTGTTTCTGGGATCAGCTGATCCACCTAACACAGTCTTTATTCTCTCTTCATTTTTTATGTATTTGTTTACTTGTTTAGTTATCTATTTTTTGCTGGTACTAGGATTTGAACTCAGAACTTTGTGCTCAAAGGGTTTGCTTGCTCGTGGCTGATGCTTTAGTATTTGAGTCATGCCTCCAGCCCAGTATTTTACTGGTTAATTGGAGATGGAGTCTTGAAGATTTTTCTGCCCAGCCTGGTTTCAAACCACAATCCTCAGATCTCCAGTCTCTTGGGTAGCTAGGATTATAGGAGTGAGCCATTGGTGCCTGGCCTCTTCTCGTTTCATATATTCAAAAGACTCTTTGGAATGTTTCCCTAAAAGACCAGGCATAGAACACTCAAGGCACTTAAGAAAAGTTGTCTGCTGCATTGAAGAGGACAGTGTTGCCCCCCCCTCCCCAGGCCTCACTTCTACCCATGAAGATTTCTGAATGAACCTGGACATTTTGAACCTTACTGAGCAAAGGAAGTATGAAGGGAGAAACAGGATGGAGGAGAAATGGGAAGGCTCCATCTTCTCTGGTGATCTCTAGCCAGTCCAGAGCTATCACTAACCAGGGATCTTTCTGTCTGCTTTCTCAGAGCCCCTGTGACCGAGCAGGCGCCTTCACTTTGGAGCCTGGTGACCTTCTGATGGATTTCACAGAAGCAACACCTCTGGTAAACTTCCTAATTTACTTAAATCTGAGAATCTGCAGGCCATAGAAATGGCTTAGTGGTGGGTCGATGGTGAGGCAGCCACTGCTCCAGAGGGGGTGTCCTCTTGTCCCCAAGGCTCAGGGATCTGCTCTCATGGAGGGTGTGGCACTGTGGCTCTCCCCGACCTTGCAGTGCTAGTGAGGGAGGGCCGCTCCCTCCCCTCCCCCCCCCCCATCTGAGGTTGGATGCAGGGATTCTGCCTGTGCCTGTCTGCCGCTCCTCCAATGTTGCAGGGCTCCTTCATGCTTGGGTGTCAGCTGCCTTGGCTGCCTGTGCTGTACCGTGCATGACCACACATCTCTTGCTGTTGCTTCTAACAATCAGTGTGGTCTGAAACATTGTCTGGAGCCAGGTCCTGGCTTTCCTGAGTCTCATACCTTCGACTGTTGCCCATTCTCACATGGGTCTGCCTGGGGGATAGTGGCCCTTGTGGGTTTTCTGCACGAGAGAAATCCTATTTGGAGGTCACATCACTGAATCAGGAGTCGTCAGACAGACAAGTCTGTCAGTCTCTGCTTTGCTTGTTACGATCCTCATCACTGGAGTGTTACCACTCCATCTTCTGTAAAACACAGATGTCATTGGATGAGTGTTTAGAGGGGGAAAGACAGAGAGACAGAGACAGAGGAAAGATAGAGAGGCAGAGACAGAGAAAGAACAGAAAACACCACAAAATAGGCTAGAGGTGTAGCTCAGTGGCAGAGCACTTCCCTAACATTCATGTACAAGGTTTTTGATTCTATCCCCATCAGTGAAGAACAAAAACAAAAACCAACCACCACCACATATGTAAGGTGTTCCTGTTATTAGACAATCCAGGTAAATTTGGATGTACCTTTAGCTGGTCTAAGCCTAATACCTGAGTATACTTGAACATGATCTACTTGGGGCTAGACATAAATCAACACTGAAGCTTTGAATCAAAATGTGAGCCACGTAAGAGAGTCCAGGAGAAAGATGACTCAGGTCTGGGCTGGGAAATACGCTTGTCATCAGGCTGACAGGCACCAGTGTCATTTGTAACTGTGCCACATCTGTACATCTGTGTCCTGGACTGGATGAGACAAGGGCTGCAGAAGGACTTCTTTACCCACTGCAGAGTTGTAGAAGTAGGGGGAAGCAAGAGTGGCCCTCTGCCTGACTTGTGCCTAGGAGTTCCTCAGTCACTGTGTCTAGCCATAATACCGTGGGACCATCTCATCCTGTCCCTCCCCTACAGATAAGGAAATCAAGACCAAGACAGGGCTGTAATACATCCTAGATCACACAAACAGTCTGCATCAAGGCTAGGACTAGAACCCAGACCCTGGACTACGGTCCCAGCAGTATTGCCAGTGGCAGGTAGCCTAAACCAGGCCATGTTTCTGTTTCCCCTTTAGCTAGTCTCTGTCCCATAAAGTTTCTCAGACCCTCTGGCCTTACCCTTACCCTCTACAGTCCAGGCTTGGGGAAAGCTCACTCTGGGATTATATCTAAGCCACCTATCCAGGTTTGGTCCCCAGAATTTCTGAGTGGGAAATACGGAAGCCCAGTGTGGTGGTTCAAGAACTCGGCTAAGATAAGGTATGGTTGCTTGACTGCCAGCTCTGTGTCTTCAGCCCCTGGCTGCATTCTGGGAATTCTTGGCTACATTCTCTTCAGAAAAAGAAGTAACATCTGTGATACTCATCACAGAAGCAATGTCCTGTCTTCTTTGGGAATACTTTTTCTGGACAGTCACCTTCCAAACTCACAACCTGGGCCTAACTACTTCCTGTAGACTCCCCCCCCCCCTCCATAATCCTCAGGCTAACCCTAGAAGGACAAGGGACTAGAGAAAGAAAAAAAAAGGCCCAGATGCTCTTGCCTTCATTCTGGAATGTTCCTCCGAGGTGCCATGAAAACCCTTATAACTCTCTATCTTCATGGTCTAGTCTGTGGAATGGTTTTCAGAGGCACAGTCCAAAGTGCCAACAGTAATAAAAGGTTTCACCCTGACCTGGCATTTCTCAAACACACACACACACACACACACACACACACACACCAAAACAAACCCTACAGGAAGAATAAATACCCTCTGGTACTGTCTTCCTCATTTTCTCGTATCCTGCCCAGCTCCATGGACTGTCTCAAAGAATCACTTACCAATCTCACTGTCGCAGCATTCCCCCTTCCTTCTCTCCTCTGTTCTAACCTCTGATTCTTGTATTACATAAGTCAGTTTAGCACCTGAAGCCTTATAGTCTTACAGCCAGTTTGAGACCTACCCAATGCTAGATCCTGCATCTCCAGTTCACAACACATGTGAATTTGTGCCTGGTCAAACAGGTAGGACCTGCAAACAGGAAGTGAGAACGCAAGGGAAGTCAAGACAGCATCTCTCCATGCAGAATTCTCTTGGGGTGTGTGTGAATTCTCCCCAAGAGGAGTGCTGGTGTCCACTGAAAGGGGGATGGTGGCGAGAAAAGTACTCTGGGAATAAAGAATCCTGTCCCTTTTCCCTATTTTCTGCCCAGCTGCCTCCTCCAGGTAACAGAGAGATCATCAACACCAATGTCTTCTGTGTTCTTGGCTCTTTCCTTTTGGGGCCCATTCCCTTCTGAGCTTGGTGATTTGTAAACCAGTCACCTGACTGCAAAGCAGAGCCTATAAGAACCCCTGGTCCCCTCCTCGCACATTGTGTGTTAGTGAAGAGTGTGGGGAGAGTGTTGACATAGGGCCAGGAGGACCCACCGTCTGGGCTATGTGTCACAGGTGGGTTCCATCAGGCTCAACATCTTAGTGTCTGTTCCAAACCTCATTCTTCCAGGAAGGCTAAAACTTAATCTCAAATCCAATTGAGTGTTCTTTTTGTCTCTCTCAAGCTTCATCTGGGTTCCACAGGAAGGATAAGGGATGAGAGAGAGGTAAAGGAGGACTGGAATGTGACAGCAAGTCTATTTAGTCTATTGTGTCATCATTTACTGAGTTATCTGGGACACTGTTTAGCAGCTCTTTGGGGTGCATAGAAATCATTGTCCTGCACCCTCATCCTCACCAGAATGAGCTGTTGTATCTCTGTTGGACACATGACACTCTTCAGGGCCAGGATGTGGACACCAATATCTGAAAGTGTGGAGTCTTCTCTCATGGTGTCTTCCAACCAAGCAGTTTCTGTTTCTGAACCCAGATAACAACCTGCTGGACACCAATCTGTCCTAAGGCCATTTTGTTCTGGGACCTGCTGTTTTACCTGCTCTAACCGAACTGAGGGCTGCTTTTCAGTCCTTGTTGGCAATCTCAGCCTATGGGTGAGGGGGAACAGGGGCACTTAGCTGCTTGGCCCAGGATTCACTAATGTCTGCCCTTACTCTCTTTGCCTGACATCTCTCTCCAGTTCTCAAACTAGCCATCTCGTTGATGTATGTACACATCATCATTTATGTATGCTAAAAATGTACATTGCCCCTCAAAGTCAGATTTTAAAGCTCAAAAGCCAATTATCTGTAGAAAAATGTGGCAACCTGAATGTGGAAAAGCCCAAGATAGAAAGAAATACTGGGGGTGGGGGTGGGGAATGGTATTTTTAAACAGCATCTTCCTTCTTAAATTGCTTGTCTTCTCTTCTCCTCGCTTACTGAATTAAGCATGTGGATTTTTAAAAAAAATATATATATATATATATTTATTTATTTATTTTGTCAGCCATGGGGCCTGAACTCTGGGCCTAGGCGATGTCCCTCAGCTCTTCAGCTCAAGGCTAGCACTCTACCACTTGCCACAGCACCACTTCCGGCTTTTTCTGCTTATATGGTGCTGAGGAATTGAACCCAGGGCCTCATTCATGTAAGGCAAGCATTCTACCACTGAGCCAAAAGCATGTGGATTTATTAAGAGTCCAGGTATATTTTTCTGTTTAAATCCACTCAATGCTTACTTAGAAAGGTCAAAAACACTTGTGTAATTGTGAGCATTTACCAAACAACTGCAATGCTGGGCAAACCATAAATCATTCACTATAATCCACAGCACACAACCTCTAGTCAAAATGGTCGTGTTTCCCCATCATTTTTGTCAGCTTCTATTTCCTTTGGAGAACAAACATTGGGTGTCTGCTGGTATAAGCAGAAACAAAGGCCCAGTGGCGGAGGTGGGAAGTCTCTGATATAGTTGGTTCTGTCTAGAGCATCAGTGAACACATTCAGTAGTGGGAACTAGCCATCCATCCACTAGGACAGGTGGGAACTAACCTTACACAGGCTTCTACACCATTCTAGGCAGGTGGGATTTCTCCGGAGGACTAAAGCGAACATTGAAAGAGTTTGAAGGAGGCTGGCAAACCTTAACCACATGTGACTAATACAAATTCATTTAGCTCTAAAGAAAGGATTTAGAAACAAGCAATGAAAAGCTCTAGAAATGGGATTGAGCCTTTTTTTGCATCTCCCCAATGTGAATAATAAAATAAGGCTGTTGTGAAGGGCACTGTGAGAAAATGACTGTAAAAGCCCTTTGGAAATTATCCAGCATCGCACAATTGTCAGGAGGACAGAGTAAGATCCACTTGGAGAAGGAAAAGAGGCCAGCAATTTTCTTGATCACTTTTTCAATAAAACTTACCCAGAGGCTATATTTTATTCCTCACAACTGAATAATACTAAATATTTAAGAAAAAAAATCTTGAATTAAATCAGAGATGCATGCATTGGTTCACTGAAGGAAATGATTCCTCCTTGAAACCTAAACTAACCCCATAGTACCCTACTCTAATATCAGGCATTCTCTATTGGCCATCTTCATCCCTATTAGATGTAATAAGCTGTTAGATCTCTGCTGGTTTTGTCTACTCTTCAGGGACAGAGAGGGAAAGCCAGTATCCCAGGGCTTAATGTCTTCCAGCTAAGCAACAAGGTGCTACACTGCCAGTGTAAGATACCAAGGCTTATGAGCATAGAGGATGGGTCAGGATTGTGACAAATGAAATCCTGAACTCTGTGTCTTCTGGGCATATAGTACTTTCTTGGTATCCCTTTCTGGGTATCCACTCCCTTGCACACCACCATGGGTGTCCTTCTTTAACAGAGGGCCCAGGCATGGAAGGCAGATGCTCTCAAGTGTGTGGCCAGTCTGCATATTGCTCCTATGGCTGATATTGCTAATTCATGGCACTCCTTCTAGCTTGGCCTGGGCAATGCTTTTGAACCCTGACAGTATGCTAGGGGACTGACGCCAGTCCTAGACAGCTAGAACAGGAGACAGTCTCTCCCTGCCAGCCATGGGAAGGGGGTTTGTTATGTCATTCTCCTCACATAGTGAAGAAGAGAGACTAGGGCCAGACAGGAGGAGAGGTGAGGAGAGAGGAGGGTGGTGGGAGGGACCAGCTGCCAGCCAGCCAGAGGCTGGAAGAAGGCTTCTAGCCCAGCTAGCTGGAGTTGCCAGATCCGTCTTGCACTGTGCTATCTTTCTCTCCTCTCCCTTCCCTTATCTCCTCTCTCTCCACCCCCGTCTCCTCCTCCCCTTCTCTTCTCTCCTCTCCTCGTGAGCAGGCAGAGCCCGCCAGCAACCCCCACTGTGCCCACCCTCGCTGCTCTCCTCCACTCTCTCTCCCCATGAAGGAAGAGACCACTGGAGTTTGCATGTATCCTCCAATCAAAACGAGGCTGGTAGGTACCCTGGCAGGGAGGGGCCTGCCAGGACAGGTGAGGTGGAAGGAGCTCCAGGTGAGGCAGAGGCTGGATGGGCACACAGGAGCGCCAGACCTCCAAAGAGCCTACTGTCAGGTACTCTCTCTCCAGGATGGATGAGAAGCTTGAGTTTCAACTGGCCCTGGCCAAACAGACTCATAGCTGTGATCCCAACCCCTTCAGCTATAGCTTTCCTGAACCAAGAAGTTTGTTTGCTTAGAATTTTAATGAGGACAAATTTCCCAAAGAGAAATTCACATTCTGGTAGATAGATCCTTAAGTGTTATTTCTATTGATAATAAAAAAATTCACTTTTTCTTTCCTCTGCTACTTTTTAATAATAGAAGAATCACCCTTAATCCTAATCTAGCATTATACTTTCCATTTTTTTTCATTTCCTTCTATTTATCCACTTCCATTCATAAGTTTGCATAGTAAGTTAAAGTAGCTATATCATTTTATGTTTTTCTCTTTTCACTCGGTGTCTTGTTTCTGTCTTGTTCTTGTTGCCACCTTCAACATGAAAACCTATACTCCATTCAGAGAATGGTCCAGCATTACTTAACCAGTCCCTCGCTGAGGGCATGGGCTTCATACTTTGTCACTGTTCAAGGGAACACATGTAGCTTTTCACATTGGAGATTTTATAGGCCCTGTGGGGTAATGTCGTGTGACTGGTTTTTGCCCAATGGAGTGGTTAGATTGACTGACAGAGCTATCTGAAAATAGTGAATGTGATCTGCCACAGGGTCAATGATAGAGTGGAATCTTGGGGATCTAGATGTTTTATTTACAGCTGGTATAAATGATTCTTTGTGGTTGCTAATTTTCCCATCTCTTAATAGTCCATAAGAAAGCACTTCCCTGTACCTCCTCATGACCCAGGGTGGTGTACCTGCAAGTTGCTTTTTGTTATGACATTGTTTTTAGAACACCGTGTTTATCCCATTAGGCAGGACTAGAAGCCAGTATTGCAAAGCTTCACCCTGAGAATCTTTTATGATTTGGAGCCCATTCTGGGAATCTTGAGATATTTAAAGAGAACAAAAAAGATGTGGAGGAATAGGATCAAGGTTGGACTGGACATCTCTGTACACATTGCAACAATGTTGTCCCTACATTGGTTGAGACCTCCTCTACCCATTCAGAAAAACCACAGCCACATGGATCTAGTCTGCTGTGCATCTGTTCATCCTTCCCTTACTCCCACCCATTAGAGTGGGGGAAAGTGCCAAGGTGCTGTCCCCGTGTCCACAGGCATGACCCCACAAGACATGAGGCTCCTGTCACTAAGCAGAGGTAGCCTGGGTGTTTTGGCTGTACCCCTGACTTGAGGTGATCCAGTCCACATCCACCATAGACAGTCTTTCCAGGCTCTGCTGGTGCCAGAATCACCAAGTCCTTCCCTGACCTGCTGGTGTACCAGCTTGAAGGAAAAAACCCTCCCATTCCATAAGGCCTCCAGGAAGCCAAAGGCAAAATAACCAAAGTAAAAGAAATGGAAGCCTAGAGTCTTCGGGGCCATTACTACTTGACCAGACTGGGGCATCCAGCCTCCTTCAGACCAGCTCCATGCAGTAGTTGTCCCCAACACTGGGTACTTACTTTGAGCACCATGCCTTCTGTTTTCAGAGTCCTGAAAACAGGACTTTGGAATGCTTTCCTGGGTTCCCTTGAAGTTTCCCTCTATTGCCCAAAGTGCTCAGGGAGTCCAGCAATGAGTCATTAGAGAGAGATAGACTACTTTCTGGCTTAATTATCCTAGGCCCCTGGTACCTGCCTGCTGTGATATGGTGTCCTGCATGGACCTCCAAAGAACCTCCTGCCATACCCCACAACTGTGGAGACACCTTCAGCGGTCACCCTTGGCACCTCAAGCTTGCATCATTATCAGTTTGAATCGGGCCCGGACCCGGCATGCCTGGTTGACCCAGACCAACCCCAGTGAAAGGAGCTCAAGGTGAAGCAAGCATGAGGTGCTGGACAAATGAGACTGCAGCCTCACAGTTGAACACCAGACACAGATAGAACTGTGTCCCAACTCCTGAAGAATAGAGGTCCCGCGAAGCTGCCCCTGTGTTCAATCGTAAGGGTACGCTGCCAGAGGTGATAAAACTTTATTTCCTAAGTGGATGCTAATCCTCTTGTCTTTCTCTTTTTTGAAGATAAAAACATTCCCAGCTGACCCACTGAGCCCGTTTCCTGATCCTTTTACTACGGGGCCACCGTTTACCGTAAGTAGACCCAGAAAGCAGAACTGCCTGCATTTTGAATGTTCCCACATGGTGTTTTAACAGTGAGCTGCTTTTGCTCTCTGATGAACTACATGAGCTTGAAAGAGCTGGGATTCCGGGTCTGCCTATTCAATTTAGCTACTTTATTTTATTGATGTGCAATTCCTATGAAATTTACCATCTTAAACTGACAGCTTTTTATTAATTTATTATTATTTTTAAATTTTTCATTTTTGTGGATCATGAGCCTTGAACTCAGTGCCTGGGCACTGTTACTGAGCTTCCTCACTCAAAGCTAATGTTCTACCAGTTTAAGCCACAGCACCACTTCGGGTTTTCTGGTGGTTAATTGTACTCATCACCTTGCTCATGTAACCGGAACCCCTCTGTACAGTATTTTTACAATAAAAAAGTGTATTTAAAAAAAAAAGAGTCTCACGGACTTTCCTACCCAGACTGGCTTTGAACTGTGATCCTCAGATCTTAGCCTCCGGAGTAGCTAGGATTACAGGCATGAACCACTGACACCTGGCTTAAACTGACAATTCAGTAGAATTTAGGACATTTACAATGTTGTGTAGTGACTACTTCTAATTCCAACACATCTTACCACCCCAGAGAAAACCCCACACTGGTTAAGCAGTCACTTTCCAATTTCCCATTGCCTTGGCTCTGACACCTCTAACCTATACTTAGTCTCTGTGAATTTACCATGTGTACACCTTCCTACCCATGGAATCATGTTGCACGGCATGTTCAGTGTTGGCTATTTTTACTTACTGTCATGTTTTGGAGGTTCATCTGTGTTGAATGTGTGAACACTTCATTTCTTCTTATGGTGGAATCATATCCCATTGTATGGATGTAATGCAAGTTTTTCTGCACATTTATTGGTAGGGATTTGTGGGGTGTTTTTTTCACCTTTTTGGCTATCATAAATCATGTTGTTATGAACACGTATGCCCAAGCACTTGTCTGAACACTTATCTTCAGTTTGAGTGGGTTGGGTCTACCATCTTGATGATGGTGTGAACTTCTGTAAGTCACTTGACCGATCTGAGCACCAACCTCCATTTACTTAAAGTGGGGTAATAGTAGGAATATCCTCCTTGCATTCAAAAGGCAAGGATCACAAATAACTAGGAGCTGGAAAGTGCTTCCTAACCATAGACTGTCCCCCAAAAGGCAGTGCTAATGGATGTCTATGGAGCCACAGAAGCAGGTGGTACAAAGAACTCTAGAACAGGTAGTCCTGGCAACGGCTTCCTGTTACCACCTCTCACCACTGCTGTCACTGCTGGGCGGTTTGTTTTAACTCTGCAAAACATTTTTAAATATTTAAATGTTGTAGTTTCCCATAGAATCTACAGATGGAGAACGATTCAGCAATCCTCATACTTCTTTCCAGCTACTCAATTCATTCTTACTGAAATTTTCTACAGAAGTTCATTCTATAGTGAGCACAAGTAGGAGAGCGGGGTCCTTTCCTCCTCTCTTCCTCCCAGGAATCAAAATATGTGATTCTACAACCTGGATGACCCCTGGGGCCCCCTCCCAGTGGTTTCTGTCTTATCTAGAGGCTCTGGGAGGTGGCCTAGGGTGAGCCCTAAAGCCCAATTTGTGACTCCAATCTCTACCTGAGGTGGCTTCTGCCACATGAGCAGGGAAGAGAGGGAGCAGTGGCTGATGGTTTTGGAAAATGAATGGAGGTGGGAAGATGTCCAGCAGTTTGGGCAGAGAGAAAAACAGGTTCCTAGAACAATCCATTTCTAGAGCTTGTAGTTCCTGCCCTTTAATGGGAGGGCAGAGCCACAGAGCCGTGCCAGAGTTCCGTGCCATTGCCCAGGTCCTCATTCAGCCCCCTGCAGTTTTGCTGGACAAGACACCCCAGCTGGAAACTCCACTCCACTTCCCTCCATTGGCCATAGTGGGGCGCCATGGCATCCTGCCCAGCCTTGGCAGTGCTGTGAGATGCTCAGGGAAGCCCTTCTTGAATGCTGGGGGCCCAGATGGTACAGGAAGCCAATGTCAGACATCATGCTGAGACTTTTTAAGAACTGGGCAAGAGTGGCTCCAAGGCAGCTGGAGCCGACAGAGGGAGAGGCCATCACACATTGAAGGGATTGTAAAGAAGGCCAAGAGACCAGAATTCACAGAGCAAGGGCGTAGAGTGTGAGGGGAGGAAGGGACATAGGCTGTGTAGGCCACATGGGGATTTTCATCCTTATCCCAAAAGCAATAGAAAGCCTTCAAAGAACTGGATCCCTGTGGTCACAGTAGGGGAAACATTTAAGTCCAGATATAGAGTGGGTTTAGAACAATAGTCTAGAAATCTGGAACAGTGGCTGAAGGGAACGGAATGCACTGATTTGCCCCAGAGCAGTTTTGATGGCTGGTAAGATTCAAGACTTGGATGAAGGAGAGAGTTACAGGTAGTTCAGATGACCAGTGAATCAACTCACAGAGAAAAGAGCATGAGTTAGTTTTCTTCTTTCTATGACAGTATACCTGAGAGAAACAACATGTAGGAGAAAAGGTTTATTTTTACTTAGAATTTCAGAAGTTTGAATCCACAGTTGGCTTGTTGCATTGTTTTTAAATCTGAGATAAGACAGAAACATGGTAGAAGGTGCAGGGTGGAGGAAAGCTACTCACTTCATGGTGAAGCAGAGAAGCAGGGGAGGTCAGAGACCAGATACACACTCTTCAAAGACACGCCTCCAATGACCAGCTTCCTCCAACTAGGTCCCACCTCCTACTAGCCCATTCACCTATAAACTCACCCATGAATTAATCCATTGATGAACTTAACATCTTATGTTCCAATCAGCTTTCAATAGTTCCACCAGCTGGGGACCAATCTTTCAGCTGCTTCCTATCCAAACCATAACAGAAAGTAAATCTGAAAGAAGCCTGGCTTGAGAGAGATAATGAATTTGTCTTTTGCCGTGATAGTTTTGCCTTTAAAACATCCATCTGAAGTAAGGAATGGACAGTTGTATGCCCTACTCAGTAAACTTAGGAGAAGGGAGGAGACAAGAGAGCAAGGGGCATAAGCGGGGAGAGACTACATATTTGCTGAAAGTAGCATATTGTTAGCAGAAGCCAAATTTGTAAGTCTCAGCCTTCCAGTTTTCTCACCCCTACATATTATGTTCTCTTCTTCTCACTGAGGTCAAGACACTTGAATTACCTGTGGGTATGGCTTCTCTACAGGCCTCCAGGCCTATCCTGGCTGTAGTTATGGAGGGAGTTTAGCAGCTCTGGGGAACTCTGTACAGAGTCTGTCATTTGATCCAGCATTTGTCTTGAGCATGGCTTCAACCACTAGGTTTGGTTCTGAGTCTAGTTCTTACTTCATACTCAAGACTGTTACCTGGGCCTCTGCTGGTTACTCAGTATGTTGGCCCCTACCAACCAAACAGCCTTCCTTCAGTCTTAGATTTTCAGGCTCCTGGCCTAATCCCATACTGTTTAGCCCCAAATATTCTCTTACTCTGATCACAGCCAGGACCCCTGTCTGGCTCTGACCAGATTCTGGTCCCATGCTCTTTTTTTCTAATTGTATCTGTCCTTCTGTTTCATTCATTCATTTATCTCCTCATGGAACCAAATACCAAAAAGATAAGTACTTAGGGTTGAGATTTAATAAGTAATTTTTACTGCTTCTTCAAGGTCATTCTTTAAAAAAAATATTTTTTTCAGGTCTTAGGGCTTCAACTCAGGGCCTGGGCACTGCCCCCAGAGCTTCTTTTTTGCTCAAAGCTAGCACTCTACCACTTAAGCCACATCACCACTTCTAGCTTTTTCTGTTTATGTGATACTGAGGAATCGAACCCAGTGATTCACGCATGTGAGGCAATCACTGTACCACTAAACCACATTCCCAGCCCTCCAGGTCATTCTTAAGTAAAGCTGGCTTCCCACCATTCAATTAGTGAAGACTGCAAGGACTTCCACAACCACTCATGTTTGTACTTAGGCCCCAGCACTGGCTTTCATCATCAATGCCAGTGTCCCAACAATGATATCAGAAGCCTGCCATCCCCATTTACTATTTACTAATGCAGAGAGCGGTGTGACCCCAGCTGCTTTATCAGCCAGGATAGGCTAACCCTTTTTGTGCTTTGAAACAACATCCTGAATTTCCTCCTCACAACACATACTACATCATGGTAGATCAAAGACTCTGTTCTTCTTGGAGCTCAGGGTAATGAATCAGTTGCCTAACAAGTAGTACAACACTGGTTACAGTGACAGAATCAACAAAAAGAAAAAGAAAAAAAAGAGAAAAAGGAGAGATGACGAATCACACACTGGTCCTTAATCTTTTAATGGAATGAAACTCAGTACCAACTCACTTTTTATTGGACAAAGCAAGGCACGTGGTCATGTCTAATTTCAATGGAGCAATGAAATGTACTGCTACCATGTGCCTGGAAAGTAGTGAGCCAGAGGAGTCTGCAGGCCAGCTCAAAAGACTGCTGCTATGAAAGACAAATGTGTAATTTTTTGTATGTATGGCATACTGACATGAATTCACATAAAGAATCAAGTTACAAAAATCTACAGATGTCTTTTTCAAAAGGGTACAAAAACAAAAACACCCCATGTAGGAAATATGAGGAAATTTACTAATGACAATAGTAAAGAATTTCTTCATGTATTTGCTTTTATATATTGTCTAACTTTTCTGGCCTTTAACTCATGATCCTTCTACCTCAGTCTCCCTAGTGCTGGAATAATATATACATAAGCCACCATGCCTAGATACTACCCTCTAGGATTTCTATAAAAGAAGTAATAAGCATATTTTGCTTACAATGAAAATGACAGAAATTCCACTCTCCATGCTACTCTGTGTGCTCTAGAATGAAATTTTGGTGCATGCAAATCATCTGGAGAGAAGGAGAGGGTTTTCTTACAATATGTGTTTGGGATTGATCCACACACTTCCCAATTCCAAAGTCTTGGATGAGACCTGAACATTAGATCTTTTACCAAGTTTCAAGATGATACAGATGTTTCTTGAGGCCATATTTTAGATCACCTAAATATGGAACTATACTGGTGAAAACCAATTATGGAGTCAGAAATACTGTTCTTTATACTTTCTTAGCCTCTCTGAGCCCCACGTTTCTTTCTTATAAAATCAGTTCTAAGATGTATGTTTGTTCATCTTTTTAACATCTCTGAAATCAGGATGTCTTCTACATTATACAACATGATCAAACCTGAAAGCCACGTTTTCCTTTCTCTGTAGCACGTGTAAAATGATGCATCTTACAACTGATGGTGCCAAAGATGTGCTGAAATATGAGCTCTACTTTAAGAGGTTGTCAAGTTGTAATGTATGGGAAGTGCTTAGCATAGTGTCTGGCACATAGTAAAATCACTTAAAATGACAATTGATTTTAGCTATTATTAAAAAATAACGGGAACTGTACAGTCAGGCTTAGAGAGTAGCTGACAGTGTGAAAATGGAACTGAAATTGAGATTGATTTGCTCTTTTCTGTTTCTTTTCCAGGCAGACTTTAGAGACAGTAAATTACAATGCTGTCCTGGCCAGTCTTCCCCACTGATTCCAGCAGCGACCCTGAGGCCTTTGACAGAGACCGTGTCCACAGTGCAGACCATCTATACCACCCGGAAGCCTGTCTCCCTGGCAGCCAGGTAAGTTAGATTGGCAGAAGACAGCAGCTAACCCTGGAGCCTGGGATCCAGGCACAGACTTGAGGTTAATTGTATTGTGACATCTTCACCCTGCCATTCACTCTCTCATTCATTTATCCTGCAAGTATTTAATGAAATATATGGAAGGAGAAGGCTGCATTCTAGGTGCTGGGGATGATAGTGAACAGAATAGATAAAGGCCTATGATTATGACGTGTATCATCTCATGTGCTAAACTGCATGGGAGAGATGGAGGCAGGACAACAAATAAATGTGGACATCTGTGTGCATACAATACTGACAAGTGCTAAAGAGGGAAATAAAAGCAAGAAAGGCAAATAGAAAGGCTGGGATGGCCTCACTGAGGTGGAATGTAAGCAGAGACCTGAAGGTGGAACAGGATCTAGCTATCTAAGAAAGAGTACATTTAAAGCAGGGAACCACCATTGTTAAGGTTCTAGAGGTGGATCTCGCCCGACATGATTAAGGAAGATTAAAGAGCCGTTGTGAGCCGAGCACTATGGTATACCCTTGTAATTCCAGCTACTCAGGAGGTAGAGGAAGGAGGATTCTGAGATAAGCAGAAATTTTTAAATAAATAAAAACAAAAGGTCTTGAGGTGTAAGTCAAGTGGCAGAGTGCTTGCCTAGCATGTATGAGGCCCAGGATTCAAACCCCAGTACCACAAAGAAAGGTGGGTATGGGTGCAATGTGGCTAGGCCAGGTCCGATTCTTCTGCTGCTTGAGGAAACCATTGACTCAAGAGACTGCCGTTGACTCAATGGCAGTGGAATAGAGAAGTGGAATCTTGACTGTGTAAATCAGTCTCTTAATTCTACAGAGATGAGAGGTTACAGATCTAGGAAAAGAATAGGAAGGGAGAGGGGCTAATACAGAGGAGGAACATTGGTGTCCTTTCTAGTTATAGACTGAGGTCTTCCAGGAACTCAGGTACTATCTCTTCTTGCTCCTTTTATTGTCTGGTATTTCCCATCATGGGAGCTAGTAGGCCTCTCTGGCCTTAAGAGAAGAAGGGGTAGAGAAAAGGAAAGCAAATCTAGATCGTGTATTAAAGAAAACAGACACAATGTGATGCCAAGCCTTTTTATCCCATGCCAGTCACCCAGCCAAGTCTGTAGGCCCTAGTGAAGAGCCAGCATTTCCAAGCAAAAGTGTCCCTCAAGTCTCCGAAGAGTCACCTAGGCAACCATTCTCATCATAGCCCACACAGCAGAGGTGTTATCTATACAACAGAGTCAGGGAGAAATTAGTAGTGGACTGCTCAGCTCTGTAACCTCCAAAATTACTGACGTTTAAGTCCACTAGCAATATGTAAAGTAAGAGGTTTATTTAGACTTTTCTTCCTAACAGCTAAGGAGGCTTGGGATGTCATAGGTTGGGGACTAATTGTGTTGTGTGTGTGTGTGTGTGTGTGTGTGTGTGTCACAGCAGAAATGTATTCCTACCCTAAGTGAAAGTATTCAACTTAGTCTATGCCTTTATAGATATACATATCTTAGGCCTTGTAAGGTGGCATATACCTGTAATCCCAGTTACTTGGAAGTCTGAGATAGGAGGATCATTTGAGCCAACAACAACTTTGAGACCAGCCTTTGTAAGATCCCATCACAAAGAATAAAATGAAACATAGAGGGGAGAGGGGAGATCATTTCATTGATGAGGCAGATGAATGAAAATACATGTCTTCTTAGTGGTAGCTTGCTTGCATTGCATGCTGAAGCCCTTGGGTTTCAGCCCTGGCACCACCAAACAAAACAAAACAAAACATCTTTATGTAATTGACTGAAGGCCAAGAAATGGGAAACAGCCCCTTAAACAGCCATTTTTGCCTCAGTCAATATTTCTTTTTAAATTTTTATTCCTTTTACTTGAAAGAAGGTCTTGCTATGTAGCCTAGGCTGGCCTTGAATTCAGGATCCTTCTGCCTGAGGCTTCTAAGAACTGGGATTACAGGTGTCTACCACCACAGCCTGCTTGCTTGCTTGCTTGCTTGCTTGCTTGCTTCCTTTCACTGGGGATTGAACTCTGGACCTCTCTTGTGCTAGGTAAGTGCTCCACCATTGAGTTATATCCCTAGGCCAAATTTACTGCATTTTAGTCATTAAACATAATGCATGGAAGACATTACCTCGGACATTAATCAATTAAGACTCTGTGACAAATGCATGTGGAGTGAATTGAAAGAATTATTTAAGGAAATCTAGACATCTCATTCATTGTAGAGACTTTTACTGAGTGGCTGCTCAATCTTGTGCTAGGATCTGGAAATTTAAAGATGAATGATATGAAATGAGTCCCCCGAGGGATCCCCAGGCTAGTGTGGAAACCACTAGTAGTCAGTAGCCACTTGTGGGAAAGTCCACAACTAGCCAAACAATTTCACACCACTATAAGCCAGTCAGTATCCTTAGGAGTCTGAAAATGCAAGTCAAGAACTAAGCTCCAGAAACAACCCAGGAGAAGGGAGTGACATTTAAGCTCCCCGGGTGTCCACAAGTTTTGAGGGTTTGTCTCACTGTTTCGTTAATTGCTCTTTTTCAGTGCTGAGACACTCCGACAGGAACTGGAGAGAGAGAAAATGATGAAAAGACTGCTGATGACTGAACTGTGACACTCCTCTTGTCGCCTGGAAGATGGCACCGTGCCTTCTGTCCATTTCCTTTCTCGGGGCCCTGTGTGCTCACTGGAGCACAGCACACAGTGTGTGCTCTGTTCGCCCAGGTCTCCATGGCTAGCTAGCTAGCAGAAGCCCAGTGGGGGCAAAACTTTTGTTGGAAAAGTTATTTTATGTCTCCTGAGCATTAGATGTTTGCTACTGCTCAATATAATGGAGACAGGATTTGGTAAGTCTAGGAGTAGCCAGAGGGGAAAGCAGAAATTCCTACTCAGAAGTATCTGGGAGCATCTGTCAATAACCACAGGGGTTAACAGATGGAATCTTTGGCTAACAATCTCAACCATGTGATTTTGTCTGATTGACACTTGCACCAAGCTTTGTTTGTTAAAAGGATCATTTGTACTGAGAGAATAATTCTTTACTGATGGCTTTTCTCATTTACACTGATAAATACCCAGATCTTACAAAGCCTTTTCTTTTCATTCAGACTTGAGTAGATGAACTAAAGAAAGGAAGTTCCATATTACCACAACAGGAAAGTCCTTCCACTTAATCTGAAAAAAGAATGTATGAACTTGTTAAAGAAATAGAATTTACCATTGGACCCCAAGTCAGAAATTCTAGCTTACGTTATTTAAAATTTTCTTACAAGATTAGGAGGATTTGATATCAAGAAGATTCTTTTGGATTTTCCAGAAAGGAAAATTGATCAATTCCTGTCCTATTGCTAGAAACCTGACCAGAAGAAACTTTACTCCTTTTTTTATATAGTTTCAAGAGATATGTTTTTAAATTTTTATTATGCATTTGAACAACTTTGCAGGAATAAAGGAACCCCCAGCCACAAACTTAACTCTCTAAATTACTCCCCTAGCTTTCTCAGTGAATATGCACACGTTTTTACATAGCTTTGATCAGTGCATACATTCTCTTTGTTCTTCCCTACCTAACACTTAGCTCCTTAACAGATCCTACTCTTACCAACTTAAATGTCTTTATACCCATGGAATATGACTAATCTCACTTTTCCACATTACTAGATATTTGAGTTATATCCATTTTTTTCACTCTTATAAATAGTGCTGCTATGAATGTCTTTGTAAAAAAAAAAAGATAATCTGCTCCTTCCTTTGGATTATTCTCTTTGGGAATATATTCAAAGAAGGATTATAAGGTCAAAGAGCATGAAATATTTTATAGCTCTTGTTTTATATTGCCAGAATGCTTTCTAGAAAGAACCAATCTTTGGGTTGGAAGGACCTTAAAGGTCATCTAGTTTAACCCCTTACCACCCTGAATGCTTGAATCCCCACTACAATTTATGATGCCACCAGCAATGTATAAGCATTTGTATTTACCAATAGCTCTGCCAGTGTTGGGTTTTGCCATTTTAATTTATTTTTTGCTAGTTTAATATATATGTATAGTTCTTGAGACTTTTTTTATTTCATTAATTGCTAGCAAGGCTAAGCACTTTTCCATGTGATGATTTACTAGTTGTATTTCCTTGTGTGTAAACCATCCATTCATTTCTTATGATGGCTTGTTAAGTGGAATTGATCTCATACATTTGTACCAGAACTGTATTTTTATGTTGTTTTATATAGTTTGCTCTCCTGTCCCTTTCCTTACAAATGAATGGTGCCAATAATTTGATACTAATGACTATAAAAAAAAAAGCAATGCTTCATTTACTAGCTTTGCTATAAGTGAGGTGTATAGCAAATATTCAGATAACCAAGGAGTAACCCTTTAAGTGCTGACTCTTTAAAATTTTAATATTTTTTTGAGGGAAATCTTTCTAAGGTGTATTACACAATTGCCTGCCTTAGTAACTAGTATACTGGAGAGTATTAACCTTTTCTTGGTGAACCATGGTCATCATTATAGACACGAGCCCTTTTTGTACCTTGGTATGGTTCAGTGATGTCACCAGGCACTATCAAGAAGTGTGGGGCTTAGCCTGGCCTTTGATAGGCTATGATGCTCTTTCCACTCATGGCTTTTTACTGCTGTCGGCTCTATCAGTGGAACTATTTGAGGCAATTGTACTTTGGGGAGGTCTTTACCCCCCTTCCCTGGCACACTCCCAGCTGTACTTGTAAAATGGCTTCAGCTAGCCTTTCTTTCATGTTTCCAACACAAAATGTGTTCCTGTAGAACATGAGGCTGTCACCTCGTAGCAATCCATCAGCCTCTTCCCCTTCCACACTGCTTTGTGAGGTGTGTACTTCCCACCTCCTGCTCTGTAGTGGAAACCTCCAAGAGACACTGAAGTCTCCTGGGGAGCCAGGAAACACATATTTTGTATTTCATCGTCATCAGGTTTGCTTTTGCTTCTGAGGAGGGATGCATGAACTTCTTGGCTGCTGTTTTCCCAGGAGCTCTGAGTCTCCTGCTTTGTCCTCACTTCCCCCTGGGTTCACAGGTGTTTCAGAAGTGTGATGTCACTGGAAGTCTGAGCACAAATAAGTTGGCTGTTACTGTATATAAAAACCCAGTACCTTTGGCAGCTCACCTCTGACCAGTAAAATCTCGAGGATTCCATTGTTGAAGCTATTTGTCCTGGTTATTTGCTTACTTCCAATGAATGATGGGTGCCTAGCATTGTTACCTGGGTAGGAAACTCTGTACTGGGTCAATACACAGCGACTAAAAGGAATTGTACAATTGCTTCACCAGTTTCATGTACTTGAAACCAAAACAACAGCATCATAAAGTCACAACAACACACATTTTAGGTTCAGGAGAAAACCTCCTGAACTCAGATAATCATTCTGAAGCTGAGTCCAACTTGTGGCTACCAATTCCTGGTGGGGGTGATGGGTTACTGCAAGAGTCTGGGCGTCCTCTACCTCAGGGCTTACGGATTGTGAACTGCATAGAAGATACTCAGGCTTGAAATGTTTGAAAAGGAAGTCCTTGAGCATTCAGAAGATCCCACCAGGATGCATTGAGAATTTTATATTCCCCAAATAGTACAGGGATATTTTGATGTCATTGTTATTTTCTTTCACCATCTCAAAGATCACAGCTTTTTAAAATAATCAAATAAAATTCACCATTTTGATCATCTTACTGAGTACAATTCAGTGTTTTTTCATGGACTCACAATGCTGTGCAAACACCACCACTGTCTGATTCCTCCACCGCCAGCCTCCAGTTGTGGGCCACCACTAATCAACTTTCTGTCTGTGGATTTCTTTCTATGGATTTGTTTTTGTAGACATTTCATGTTACCAGAATCATATAATATGTGGTCTTTTATGATTATCTTCTTTTGCTAAACGTGTTTCCAAGGTTCATCCATGCTATGACATGTATCAGGACTTCATTTCTTTTTTATGATTAAATAGTATACCATTATGTGGATATACCATGCTTTGTTTGTCCCTTCATCAAGTGAGAGCTCTTAGCTTCCTCCTATTTTTTGGTTATCATGAATAGTGTTATCATAATCATTTATATGCAAGTTTTGTGGGAACATAGGTTTTTTTTTTTTTTTGGTTCGGTCGTGGGGCCTGAACTCTGGGCCTGGGTGCTGTCCTTCAGCTCTTCAGCTCAAGGCTAGCGCTCTACCACTTGAGCTACAGCGCCACTTCCGGGTTTTTTCTTTTTGCTTATGTGGTGCTGATCGAACCCAGGGCCTTAGGCATGCAAGGCAAGCGTTCTACCACTGAGCCACCTTCCCAGCCCGGAACATAGGTTTTTTTAGTTTTCTTAGATTGCCAGATTATATGACCACTCCTGTTTAATGAGCCACCAAGATCATAGCTTTTATTTCTTACAAAATCCAAGGTGAAAAATGACCTACATCAGGTAGTCAGAGGCAGGACACATCTGTTATTGGTCAGACACTGAGATGCAGCCTGATTTGGGTTAGTTTTTACAGCAGAAAAAAAAACATTTTTGCCATTATTGAAATGTTATTTGTATTGTTTTCTTTGTTACGCAGTTTTATTTTATTGTAAAGGTGATGTACAGAGAGGTTACAGTTGTTTAAGTCAGATAAAGAGTACAATTCTTTTTTTTTTTTGGGTCCGGTCGTGGGGCCTGAACTCGGCCTGGGCACTGTCCCTCAGCTCTTCAGCTCAAGGCTAGCGCTCTACCACTTGAGCCACAGCGCCACTTCCGGCTTTTTTCTTTTTGCTTATGTGGTGCTGAGGAATCAAACCCAGGGCCTCGAGCATGCAAGGCAAGCGCTCTACCACTGAGCCACCTTCCCAGCCCCAAGAGTAAAATTCTTTTTGAACAGTGTTAACTTCCCTCACTCTCTCCTAGTTTTCCTTCCTGCCCCTACCCACAAGTTGTATGATTCATTTTCAATGTAGTGTCCAGTGAGTATCACTACGGCATTGTTTTACCCTTTGTCCAACCATTTCTGTGTCCCCCTTACCCTCCCAAAGGCAGGTAAATGAACTAACAAGACAGAGGGAAAAGAAAACCGCAACAAAGGCAAAAAAAAAACACTCTTATTTCCATTTCTTTTAAAAAGAGAAATGACTGTTGGCTTAGGCGTGTGATCCTAACTACTCAGGGAGGCTGAGATCTGAGGATCACAGTTCAAAACTAGCCTGGGCAGCAAAGTTCATGAGACTCTTATCTCCAATTAACCACTAGAAAACTAGAAATAGAGCTGTGGCTCAAAGTGATGGAGCGCTAGCCTTGAACAAAAGAGCTCAGGGACAGTACCCAGGCCCTGAGTTCAAATTCCACAATCAACACAGAGACAGAGACAGAAAGAGAGGAAGAAAGGGAGAGAAATGCTGAGAAGACAAAAACAAAATAAAAGTACCTACTTTTAAAGTTTAAAATAAACGCTGGCTTATTTCTAAGTTCTTGTTAGGATAGCTGGCTCTTTTGTTTGACCAGTTGTCTCAGAATGTACAGGAAAAACAATAGTTCCTTGCCATGGAAGAGATTCATATTGGTGGGGAACAGAGGATCTCTACAGACCTAGGATACAGCTAGATGAGGAATGTGTGTTGTACTCATGGCAGGTTTCCATGAATAGTACCTTGATTCAGCTGTCAAGGATTACTTCT